TCCCTCTCTCTCTCTGTCTGTCTGTCTGTCTGTCTGTCTCTCTCTCTCTCTCTCACTCTCTCTCTCTCTGTCTCTGTCTCTCTCTCTCTCTCTCTCTCTCTCTCTCTCTCTCTCTCTCTCTCTCTCCCTACTCTAAGTTCATGAAGTGAACTACACGCTACATGGCGATACGATCGCCCCAAACCTTCCCTACAGCTATCCAAGTTTCGCCGTATTGTGTTTGCGGACAATTTACAAAAATCCGATATCGTGTTGCTACCCACCCGATGTGTTCACACGTTCTGAGTGGTCGGTGCCTTCTACCAATTATCTCCTAACGTGACGAGAATGAGCCTTAAATACGTTGAATCCTTGCTGTGCTCGTGCATCTATGATCAGCGTTCCCAGTAGTCGGTATCTTCTCCTTAGGTAAAGAGCGAGTGAGTCTTTGAAACAGGCTGAATCATCGAAGTGTTCACACATCTACCATTTCAGCTCTGGCGGTGGGTCTCTTCTACTCATTCTGTCACGACACAGCAGAACCAGGTGCTCCTCAGTCTTTGGGCATGTAGGGTTATTGGTATCACCTTTTAAAGCCTGTTCATTTACCCTGCTTCTGATGAAGAAAACATCCATTTGTCTAGAAAGTCGAGTTATAAGCGATTATAGAAAGTGGGAGTGGCCTGATATTAAAGTTGACATTTGGCGAGAAAATGGCTGCCAGTTTCTGGTTACTTCCAAAGCTTGAGTGTCCTTGGAAACTGCAAATTTTCGGGGTTTTGTGCCTTTGATCAACATTTTCCCCGTAAAATCCACATACAGATATTTTTTTAGTAGTGACCTTAATTGGTCAGTTGTCTTATGACAGAAAAACGTATATGCCAAAAATGAAGTTTTGCGAGACAGGCAAAAAACTAACTTTTTGTGTGTGTTTCAAATTAACTAAAAAATTGGTTTATCTGATTATTTTATATCAATATTCATTGGCAGGTATAACATTTGTCTGATTTGATGAGGTATACAGTAAATAGTTATAGAGTAGTTGATTAAAACTTCCTTTATCATAACATCATCGACCTGTAAATATGTCACAACGCGTATTTTCAAAAGCGTAAATTTTTTAACTTTAATTGTACGCCTATAAATCCAGGCTTTCTTGTATAAAATTGCCACTTAACCTAATTACGCGTAGTTGTTTTGTCATAAGACGGCGGAGGTGTTTAGGCACTTATTAAAAAATCTATGAAAATTATATAAACGGGAGGAAAAAAGTATCCGTTTCTTTTATTTCATTTTTTGACGAGCGCCTGATTTCACGACGATGACACACAATTATCTCTGTGATCAGTGACAAATATAGGCCTCAAACGGGGGCTCTCGCGGTCAAGAGGTTAAGGTGTTCGTCTCTTATTCAATAGGTCCCAGTTCGAATCCGGATATCGACGGAAAATTTTCTTCTCAAAAATTCTCTTTTTTCACATCCTTTCCAGCTCTTTAACAATATTTCGTTGTCTACTTTCGTCTCCACTTTCTACCTCAGCCCCTTACCCCCTTACCCCCTTTGCCCCCTCCTATGGGCGCCTGACTCTTTCTGCAGCCTTTCCTCCGCTACTCCTTGGCTCCCTCTTACTGTTGTCTCTTAGCCCCACCCCTGATCTTATGGTTGGACAGGTCTGGACCTAGCCGTCTCCGACAAGGGCGAAAAATCTCGGAGGTCTCGTGTGCAAGTTGCACACGTTAAAGATCTCTTGGGGGTCCAAAAACTGATAGGAGTAGGTTTGGGCCGTCACTCGGGTAAAAATCAAAATTTCCTACCAAACTGAAAATGTTTCATGTGTCCCACGCGAGCATATAACCTTATGCAGTTGCAAGCGCCGCAAAACACATACCCCAAAAATGGCCTCAAACGGTTAACAACAAATCCGTCAGTAACATTTTATGGTGGGTTCTCCCAATCCATCGCTTCTCAGCGTGTTCTGATCATGATTCTGGGGATAAAAAGACTTTACCAATTCGTGTTTACTTTAAAGGAAGAGGAAGGCCACACAAAAGGTGGATCGAGGGTGTCAAGGAAACCCTGAGAAAACATAATATTCCAACTGAAAGAGCTGGCCTACCATAGAAAACTGCATTTCCCCTCTACGCTTAACGGTAACAGAGGATGAAAAAGAAAAAGTAAAGTACCAATTCGTGGTGATAATTAGCCAACCTACGCCCTCGGGCTAAATTTATCTCCGGTATCAGAAGCTGAGTCACGTCGTAAATGCCCACAATGTAATAATAAATGACAGCGATGCGTCCAAGTTACGCTAGTCACCTTCTTTTGTTCCTTTGTTACCATCACTCCATTGATACTGAGATGAGCGGCGGCATTCGGGATACAAATTATGTCTGATATTTATGTGTGCCCAGTCTGACCTCACTTTGTTACACCGAGCCAAATTGGAAAAATTCACCTCAAGTGCCTTTCCCGAGACACGACGTTGGACCAAACTGAAGCTCGAAACTGTGAGCTCACAATATCACGATTTCGAATCAGGAAGCCTAACCACGAAGCTGCCCACGCCACACGTTGTCTTCGAAATTACATATTAATCGTAATGCACTGCAATGCAGACGAAAGACGAAAGAACAAAACTTATTACAGCTTTTTATGTGTTCAATTATCCTTCAGTTTTTGTTCCACGAAACCCCCGTCCTAATGTATTGTTAATGACATCGCAGGCAGTTATCCACTTTACTCATACAAACTGGCCCAGTCACTCCCGATTCAAATCGTCATTTCTAAATTCCCTCTTGCAATTTGGCATTCCGTTATTGCTTAATCACATTTTTGCTACCAAATTAACCTCGACCTCCCAACGCCGCAAAATTTGCACACGCGGTTTATTTTATGCCCTGTTTGCGACAACCTGCCTCCCC